CTATTGAGGAAACAATTGAGTTAAATCGCGCAGTTAGAACTTCAACGAGCATGAACGCAATACAGATGACAAAACATTACCGTGGGAAGCAGAACATACAAAGACGTCACCGTTGACGATACTCACCATTTACGTGTACGCGACTATTTCTCCTGCTCGAGTATAAGTTGTCCCCGAGATACCGCTCTCAGTGATTGCTTGAGCACGGCTAACCATAGCTAGATAATCAGAAAGTGACAACCGTATGCGATTCCATTGGTGTCAACTGTAGACAGAAAGCAGCCCCAAGTTTTTCATGTCGGTGATGATGGTGCTGATTCGCCATCATTTACGGGAGTAATGAATACCGGTTCGCGTATCTGTACCTTGGAATACTCCTCATTTTCCAGTGTGATTGGATTGACCAATAACAGCTTTTTAGAAAGGATGACGGTTTAGCAAATACCTCCTTCATATGAATAACAGCATTTTACGCTATCCAAATAAGGAATGGTTTGTTTGGTGTTTTGACTTGAGCCTGACACAAGAGCTACAGAACGCTCGAGTCCGCCAGGCATATGTATAAACCAGACGGAATACATTTATAGTTTGCACATAATCCAAATGATTTTACGGGAGATAATGGTTTCGTCTTTGTGGGGGCTCGTCAATGGTACTTAGCCTGATTTGTCCTTACTTGGACTCGAAGCGTACGCCTTCAAATTGTAAGTTGAAAACGTTAGTTGCATAGTAGAGCAATGACCTACTTCTCGTCCAGGTTAAAATTCTTTCTGAGTTACCATAAATGTCCAGTTTTCAAGTTACCGGGCCATTAAATGTTGTCCGCTGTTTCTCGTGAACGTTACATCTCGCTCTTAGTAACTCTTACCTCGGAATCGATTCGAAAATAGTCCCGTGTTGTAACCTCAACAGCTCAAGAATCAAACTTGGAAACATGCTCGACATCGGTACTAAATAAATAAATGAATAAACCTTGATCCGTATACCTTTCGCAACGGTCTAATTTGGCCTGGGTTTATAAAAGAAAGACCACAGTCTTTCATTGAGAAGCCCTCTTCACTGTCTTCTCGAAGTGTAAGGTCGGAATTCAAATGTCTCAGGCTACAACCGGGTTAGAGAGCCACTAACCTGTGTAGAGAAATCAGAAATCCCTTAGCTCAAATCATTCATGAGATCTATTGACCCAGGACTATTGAATAAACGGTAACCGCGTCCATCGGGTGATGGGTTGGTATCCAACACCTGGGGCAAGAAAATCCCGTACAAAAGGCTAATGATACAACCAACAGGAAACCAAGACCCCACGAAATACGTAACAGAAACACCGCCTCATTGCCTTTGAGTTTAGTTGGTTCAATTAAAAACCCCGATGATATCTATCAAGTGAACCTCTTCCTCTGGGTTAGGCAACCGAGTGGTCCGACAGCCCATAAACTCATAAGAAAAATGCAGACTTTATGTCACCATTAACTCTTCGTTCATCGTAGTCTCTATTGTTGTACAATCTTCACAGCCGTCTTAAGACGAGATACAATAACAAAAGCAATATTACGATTGCACCGGGCTAACACGATCTGGTGCGTCCCGTCGGAAATAGGTCGAATTAGATCCCCGTATAAAAAGATCCTTTCAACAACGCTTGGTTGGTTATGGATTTGCAGAAGTAACCTCGATTAACCGTCCTCCGCTCAGACCAACTAAAAATAAAACCTACACTCCGTTTGCTATCCTCCAGTGAAGTTACTCTCGAAATGAGCATTAAATCACATCAAAACCACACATTCGTTCCATGTTGGATCGAGGAAACAGAAGTGCAACTGACCCCGACAGCCGAAGATCCCGGAGGCCTAAGTTATGCATGAAACCGTGCCTCGCATCTTTGAAAACAAAAACAAACCCACTAGTATGACTGAAAACTAAATAGTATTCGAAAAACCGAATATTTTCCCATTGTTTATCAAGTGTGGTTAGTTACAACAAGCTCGCATAGCAGTTGAAATCTGTGCACTATCCGAGAAAATCTTGAATGGGCATCTCTCATCCATCTTCTGAGCAGTAACCGGCACACACTGATAAAGCATGATATCCTATAGACCTAAATTTGGAAGGTCGGAAATAGTGCTATAGAAACAATGCTCAAAAGATGAACTGATTCATCTATTCGAATACTGCAAAAAGGACTTCCTAACCACAATTCCAATCATGACAAGCCACAAGGGAATAAACTGTGATGCTGCTGAGGGAGGCAAGGTGAATGAAACGGAAAGTCTCAATCCATTTTTCTCAGCCTCATGGACGTGGAAAATACGACTTCTCCCAACAAATAAATTTCATTCATCTTCTCCTTAGCACATGAACATCAGAAGAAACGGTCTGCCTGCAGTTACACAACACATACCAGTTTGTTATATGCTCCTCCTTTGGAATTCAGCACAAGACAGATCTGCTCACCGCGGTGATCAGTTCTGCTGCTACTGCACGAATTACTTACGCCACACGAGTAATTTCATGATCGCTGCAAAATCAATTGCCAAATTACAATTAAGAAGGGGATCAACGATTTGTGTTCGCACACACTGCTGCTGTTTGTTACAGAACAACTGTGATAGATAGTTTACCGGTGTTATTCGAAGCACTGTGTAGCGCAAAGACGTTAACACCTTTGGTAGACTCCCCGATCTTTGGTTCATAGAAAAGAAGGATCAAATGCATTAGTTAATGAGGCATTCTAGTACGACTCGGAATTGACGATTTATCAGCGGCAAGAGAACAGCGCTTAGGCTTCTATGGCTTATTGTAGCCGCTCCGATTCATACTGCATCAAACAAATCATGGTAAATTAATCTGAAATGACGAGGAAATCGATTCACGATTCGTTCTTGGGTGCCATATTTCCAGATCGCTCAAGACATGTTATTTGATTGATTTGACTGACTACACTTCGGACTTCACCTTCACGCACAATCCTCAGTTCATCGATTTAACCAAACATTCGGGAGCTTTAGACTCGAGTTTCGCTCTTATTAGAGCTCATCAATGGTGCATATCCACCGTCCTGTCCGGGCTTTGAACTCCGGACCCATCGCATGGAAGGCCTGTGCGTTACTACTGCGCCAACCAGCTCATGCCATGACTGAACCAAATTACCAATTTATGTTTGTTCAGGTGTTGTCTTCATTGATAGTCAGTTATTTGATTAAGGAGTCACAACCGGAGCCTTTGTCTGGCCAAAGCCTGAACTCCAAAGTAGCCATGCGGTATGAAAACTGTATCTCGTTGGGAGCCGAGGAGCAGTTTGTCGAATCTAGTGTCCTCATGATGCAAATATAGCGTCAAGAACACCCGATACACCCTAGTCTTCAACAGAACCAATCAGCATAGAGCCCGAAAACTAATTCGTTCGCCTCTTAGAATAAAGGATATCCTACTCCACCAAATGACATAAAACATAGCCAAGGGTTGCATCAAGAAGTAAAATTAGCGAAGAAGTGCGTTTTCAGTGCTTTATTCGTAATCTTAATACAGCTCTCTATTTCATAAGTTATCAAATCGCATGAGCCAGGGTAACCAATAAAGTTGAACCACGTTTATTTGTGTATACACATGTGAAATATTTCAGGTGCATGAGAGTTCAAATCAATCTGCACACATCTTTTGTCATGAATTGATGAGAACCGGGTGGACAGCAATCACGGCCTACTCGATCGTGTCAGAATGAGTGAATACGTCAAAACCATCTGTGAGATTACCATAGTGTGGTCACAACAGGCCAAGCATCATTGACCGTCAACTAGCAAAGAGATCGGGATTCGATTGAACAATCCCCTCTGGTGAGTTCAAAACAATCGGATTTACCGTTGCCAGCCGAGTTGAAATTTCATGCCCCCTCCGCAATACACATACAAATGCACACACAAACGTGATCCACCCTTTTCCTGTTTCCCTGACTCTTTTTATTTGACCTATAAAATAGAGAGCTGAATTTGGTTAATGGATGAAGCACCGAAAACGAGCTTATCTGCTCGCTTGACTTCTTGGTCAACCAGATGAGCCAGCTGCTTGGATGTCGACTTTTCGCTCTCGCAGGACAGCGCCTTAAACTTCCCTCACCACCACCAAAACTATCAAGTCGATGGGGAGGTATGATGTGAGAGACTGGGACCCCCACAGGTAGTTGAAAATCAGTAACACCGGAGGTTGTACGTTTCCAGCTTTACACTGATAACTAATGGAGATATATGCCCTGGAAGCTGCGATACGCATTGGCAAAAGATTAATCTATATCGAACAGTTGTAAAATTCTCATTGTTCTCATAATGGAACCTGAAAATCCGAGGTTATGAAGTTTAACCGAATGGCCAGCAGCATCCCGTAACGGGTGTCAGGATAGAACGTCAAAACATGCAGATAACCCAGTAAGCTGATCGAACATTTTACCTTTCACAGTTTGTTGTGTAAAGCATGCTGAATTCAAAAGATGTACCGCAAGGAACAGGAAACAACAGAAAACTATAAAAGAATGGAATCATTTGTATTATCCGGGTTCAGTTCAGTTTTTACAACCATTAACCATGCACTTTCGTGCGCCGGTTTTGGTTGCCCATTTAGATAAAAGAGCGAAATGAAGGTTGGAATTATCCGGGTAGTGGTGGCCCGGTGTTAACGTCAACAAATTTTCACCCCAGAGGACATGTGCTCGAATCCCACCACTACCACCTCAATTCCCCATTATCTGGGTGTTGTATGATCCTTTGTGTGGCCGCTTCCCCCGTCCTGAAAATTGTCTTTTATATTCAATCAAAGGAAATAACAATGAAAAAGACGTATTTAATCACCAACCTCAAAATGACATGGTGCCAATGCTGTAAATGGAGGAACGAAAAAACGGAACGCTAAGAGATAAAAACAAAGTACAGAATGATGGACTATTTTTTGTCTTGCGCCGTATGCGTGTTCTTATATAATTTTTCCACTGGGAACGTGTACGATAATCTTTTGCACTATACACGTGGCTCGTTTCGAATCGGAGCCGCATTACTCAAAGCAACTAACCCACGACACTCATCTCCTGGATTCCAGCAGGAAAATCTGGGTGGAAAAAATCGGAAAAGACTAATAGCAAGGAATCTCTTATTAGATCCGACGGTCAGGTTAGATAGACCAATGAGGAAGAACGGTGTATTTTTAGTTTGAATTCTTACAAACACCATGGTTAGCATTCAGTAGGCAGTATGACACCTTGCATCTAAAATTCTTTTGTCTAAACTGAAAACCAGGGAAGATATGGAAATTCGTTATGCAACGATACTAACACTACGAAAAAGCATCTACCGTTAGTGAGATGTGCGATTTCAAAGTATTTGTATCATAAATTAGGCCACCGAAACAAATTTCTATCCCCACTGCTGCACCTATCTAAACGGGGAAGTCAATTCAGGTATGGTTCATCACGTGATCCAATGGTTTGACACAAGCAAGAAATGGATCAATTCAGCAGGTAATATGCAAGAGGGCCTCAGTCAAACACCAGATCCAGTAGTTGGCATTTACTGATTCTATGTATGCATATTTTGGGCCGTGTGTTGAAACACGGAAACGCCGACATAGATTCTGCCAATTGAGGTACCTGCTTTAAGGAATCGATCTGGAAAGATTCCAAACCATTTGTTATGAACACAGATTCTAGAAGTTTAAATGATGTAATACTCAAGCGTGCATTTTCGGCTTAAATATCGGATGCGGTCTAATGATCGAAAAGCTATTATACAAGTTCGAACACGGGGCCCCAATAATCTGAGTTCAGATGGATGATAAGCCTCAACACTTTTGATCTACGCAACATCACATCCATCTTGCTTAGGTCTTGTGTGAAACTATATTGAAGATTGCAAGGCTTAGGTTGTCCGTACCCATACTTACGTGATTTCCGCACGCTTTTAAGGAAATCTATCCCGCAGCTCCATACTCTATGTGCGATTCGTATGCATAAAGAACCGCCTAACCTAGGTGCATGATTAGGGTGACTACGGTAAGCAGGACCAATGAGAATCCAGTTCAAACGGTACAAAAGAACCATTCAACAGTCCCTATGGTTAACAATTGTTAGAATTACCGAAGAATAGAATGTATATTTATTGCAAGACAACATAACCTTTCATTTGAATATATATTCTTTATTTGTCGTTAACCACAGTCAGAATGGTAATCAATGTAGTGATCAATTCAGGATAGTCAAGGATCTCAAGTTTAGCGAATAGGTTTACCTTGTGGTCTAACTAAATAATACATGTGATATATTCAAGTCCCCCAGCATAATCTAATACTTCCATCTATCCAATACACTCCACCAATACTGACATCTGGGGAAAAAACACTGCAGTTGCAATTACTAATTGAATTCAGTCGGCTAGTTTGTGATTATTCAATCTGTGTAACCGTCTCCCTGACACTGTTTTAGCTTTTGATGTGCTTAGATGTTTGAAGGTAGGAGTAAAACAAAACGACAAGTTGAGAATAGTACAAACTGGATACACTAGGTGTGAATAAAAGTAATTAACTGCATGAGTACCACTATTTCTGATACTTATTCACGTCGCCCAATGTACCTAACTAGGAATTAGGCTGGTTCCGAGATCTTCAACCGATAAACCTGACAAACTCTGCTCGATCATACTGCTGTACCATTCACGAACAAATCAGTCGGGGGAATGGTGTCTCTATCGGTATACTTATCCGAAATGGACCTGTCGGATAAAATGTTACTGATGATGAAGAAAGGCTTTGGACCTTGATTCTGACAGTCCAATGGAATATATTATGAAAACGTAAGTTAACAAAAAACACCTAAGCACTCTACAAGATCTCCAAGACGACATGTGCTACTGATGCAGTTGCTCCAAAAGATAGGAAAACCGCCAGAACAACTAAGCCGGCACAGAATTATCCAGCAGTGAAATGATGGTAAAACACCTAGTGTGATTTAGTTTGGGAGCTATTGTCCTACCTGCGCAGTAAGATCAGAACGGCTAAACGTCAAACAAGCCGACTGACAGATACTACAGCAATCTGATAAAGTTCAATCGGAGAAAAGTGATTGTAGTAACAGAGCGCTCCTAAAAACCAAACATCAATACTGAGGATTTTGAAGTGCTTAGAAATATAAAGCCCTTGAACGGATGTTGAAAACACCTGGATGAATATGGCATCTTGGTTTAAGTAAAACACACTCTATTCGTCAACACTGATCACTTATTGCTCTAACGTGCAAACGGAGACGAGCGACTACATTGTCACGTGGATGGAAAGAATTATTTTAGTAAGCAATAGTCTCATCAACATACGAACGCCTGTGACTTATGGATATAATGTATCTCAAGGAAGAGTAACTCCAACGGAACCCTCTGGACTTACATAAAAGCAAAGCTGAAACGTGACTGCGCTCCCTAATGGAAACGTCGTCAAAAGAGCTGATTGAAATCTGCAAAATTTTTTACTGCTTGTGTTCGCTGGTTATCACTTCAGCACTAACCTGAACTAGGCAGTGCCAACACCGGTGCACTTAACGGAATCGGTCTCAGCCAGGCAGAAATTGTTTGGTCAAGTACAAAGACTTTCTACACAAGAGCTTTCACTGGTAAACTGTTGCTTATCTACTCCAGATCGGAACGTGAACGATCTGACACAAAGCCAATCGTGGTTTAATCCAACGGTGCTGTGAGGATGAACTTTTGGTAACCTCTCTGGCTCTCTGTTGTTATTCTTGTAAGAACGTTTGGACCTTCAAATAATGAAATTCATCGTATCGCTAACTCATTCTCGGCATTCTTGTAATTATTTGTCCTACTCTCAACAGGATGAGACAGATCGACAACGGTTGGTAAAACTTACCATCAAAATTACAACAGTATCCTCCGGCCTCCTGAACAATGAGCATGGCAGCTGCGTAATCCCAGCAATGAATCCCAAATTCAAAAAAGGCATCACCGTTTCCGGCAGCTACTTGACAAATGTGCAGAGCTGCGGATCCCATGGTGCGGAGACTAAAATGAGAAATAACGGGGTGGAGAAATCCTACATAAGTACTGTCAGTTTACATTTAAACGTAGTAGGAAAAAAACTTTACAGACAACCTGACCATGTACACGAAATAAACGTGAATGCACAAGGTGGATGGGAAGTGGACCTACTAGGAGAACGGAAAACAAATCGATTTCTCGTGGCCCAAATAACAGATCACGCGATGTAACGGTACAGGCATACTTCATTAAACCCACCCACCCCATCCCAATAGTTCACATTTATAAAAACAAACTGACCGCCCTGACGTGTGTTGAACTGAAATAGCTGATATTGATCTAACAAGCGGCTGCGACGCTGATTGAAGTCCCCTTCGAGCAACAGTAAGGGCAGTGTACGTTTCAACTTTTCTACCTTGCAATACACCCTTCCCAGGTTTTGCAATACTTCCACGATCAGTTTTGATTATCGGAATAATAACGAAAACCAGCTTTCACCAAATTATCTATTATTTCAACTAAGCATTGAAATACTACGAATGTTGCTGCAACAAACTACTGAACCTCTTGATACTTGCTTATTTAAACCTGTCTAGACTAGGGTGTATTGAAGATGCATTGTTACAACTTTCGCAGAGAAACCGGTTCACACGTGGAGTCCTCATCTAACAAACTGATAGGATCCAGGATCAGGTGATTCCATGGTGATGATACGCATGTGATCACACCAATAGGAGCAATTTCGAGGCGTCGAATGAGCCGATAGAAGTCGGAATAGATCATGCTGTCCTGGAGGAGACTTTCTGACATATAGAAATCAAGAATCGATGAATTTCATGGGATGAAATACAAAATATAGAACAGCGCTAGATGATATGACAGATCCAGATCCATTGCATCTAAGTAATTGAAGAGAAAACAACGGAATTAACAAACTAGCCGGGTCGGACACACAAAAGAGCTCTCGAAGAAACACAGGTGCTGGTGACTGTGCGACATACAATGCACACACAATGAGAACGGAACTTAAGTTTTCGTTGAAACCATACAAAAAAATTGAGAACGGTCCTCTGAATCAAATACACGAATATGAAGCCTGGAGCTTTACCAAGATCATAAGTCGCACAACGTTTAGTCCGGGGTTCACATGAAAAAAATGAACGAAAATTTGTAGACTTTAGCAATGAAAGAAGTTCTTAGACTATCCTGGTGCCTGGAATTGTCGGCAGGATTTGAGAAGAACAGCACTTTAGCAGGCATACGAATGACAAAAATTCGACGACAGTTTGAGGCGTCTTTTCGGTAAACACCCGAAGTGACCTATCCTTAGGCATGCAAGATTTAAAACCGTATACTCGTTCCTTCGAGCAACATATTCTTCCGGCATTGATGTCAACCGGTCAAGTGCACGATATTTTCCAGCGAGATAGTACGCCATTCTATAACTCGTGTTTAACCAAATTGTGGTTGCTCCTTCGTGATATCAAAACAATGATGTGAATTGCATACAGCCCAGTTCTGTACCTCATAGCAAAAAATATCAGCGGTTCTAACTCCGAGAGTTTACCGAGAATTCAGGTCTTATTACTGACTAGTGAGTAGAACCATATACATAGAGATGTAATTCGGAATCCTATACGGAGCATGCCAAAAAGATATCTGGAAGTTTTGAAACGGAAAGGTTAATGCACTGCATACTAAACGAGTTTAGGTGAACATCACTTCGGGGTTGCAATAACTATGTGGTAGTAAAAGCTGTGATTTATTTATGCCTTAGTTAAAATAGAGGATAATGTGGTGAAATTTGGTATTTAACTCTTCCATTTGGTTACTATTGAAAATCCTGAAAATGGTAATTAGGTTTTGGAAATAGTGAAAAAAACAAGTGAGGGTACAATAAATACGGCAGGGCAATCAAGAAAGCTCAGTAAAACTGTGAGAACCTCGATGTCCTCATCCGAAATTTGGCAATGAGCATGGCCATGTGCACCTCTAGAGCGTTAAAGCACAAAAGGGTATGCGAGCCAATTAGTAGGACAGTGAAACGGTATGCGAAATCAACAACGGGTGTTGTGCAAAACTGACCCCGTAAGAAGACTTATCATCAGTTATTAGCAGTGGTCAAAGTCTACTTGTGAGACCTAAATGAAACTATCACCTAGATTGAGAAAAATGTGCGTCTAAATGCATTCAAATCATATCAGAAAACAAGATCCAAGGTCGATTCTTAGAATTTTTTCGTTCTACAGAAACGGTCAACTCACAAGTAGTTCTGGCCAAAGTATTGTGAACATAACCATTAAACCAAGGAATAGGAAGAAATTGTCATATAGATGATGCAGTAGTAGCAGTAGCAGTAGTACAACAGCTTATAGTGCTGACAGTCAAAGAAACAAACACGACCCACTCATTTTTATCTGCTTCGGTATCTATTGTATGGAATAGTTCTGTTCTTATAATGTCAGGCAGGAGGTTATATAATAGAATAAGAGCGATACAATCGGACTGTAACAATTGATGCACACTTATTTTGTTTTGTTTCAGGAGATAGCATTGCTCGGTGGTGAGACCTCGCGTGCCAAATAATTGTAACAATACCGACCATTCTTCTCACGGTCTTGGAGGTGATTGCCTGATTTTCTATTCCGTTTCCATTAACCCAAGAATCACGGTTTAGATTCAGATTATCTGATCAGTTTCGCTTTATTACATTATTTTCATCGATTCAACTAGTAAAACCGGCTAAAAATGAATACAAATCATCAGTTTCGATAAAAGAGCATTTCATTTTCCTTGAATCGTTAACAAGTCTGTTAGACTATGCTTAAACTAAATAACAAAGCTAAATAATAATAAAGCTAACTGGCATTGGCTGACTGGAATCTCGCTTTTTGTCATAAAGGGCTGGTAACCGAAATTTCTGAAATTTTAACAAAAAGCATTGAAATCCTCGAGTATAACAATCGGATGGTAGTGATCAAGCGCCTTAGGCCGCTATATCATCTATCACGTGCCAGGGTTTGATGTCCGAGGTTCAAAACCTGCCAAGAAGACAAAACCTAGGTGATCAAAAGCTTCGTTGTTTTACGACCCAATACTGGGTGTATTACATTTGTGCCTTTGCGAACGTTTCGTCGATGATAGAGGGACATTTGCAACGCATTTGGAAGGGGTGAGAGTTCGTAAGTGTCTATTTTCTTATATAGGTCAGTAAGTGATGTAGAGGTAACACGGGTGTTAACTCAGTCTTACCATTGTGCGATGAACAACAACAAGGAGAATTTTCTGTTTCCTTATGATAACTGAAAACCTAAACCATAAGATATGGAATTCAAACTCACATTTTCCATTTTATTAGAAAACGAAAACTCAAGCTACTTATGGATTTTCTAAATAAAAACCTCAAATTAATGGTGACCTCCTGAAACTTGTTTAGGTTGCCACCGAATATTCCCGATTCCGCGCTGGGAGTGCTGTTACCTCA